AATCATGTCCCTTTGGGGTAGGGACGGAAACAATGGGGAATCAAATTCAAATTACAGTGTATAATGAAGTTATATATAAGAAGAAAATGTTTTTAAAAAATATTTTTATCAAGAAAAGAAAAGCCATATGCTGTATTAATTTGAAGGCATTCTCTCTCAAGTAGTATTAAAATTTAAGTAGTATTAAAATTCAAGCCCCCCCCCCACCCCTTCAGTAAAATTTTCAATTATGATCTGATTTTTGCTTTTTCCTAGCTGATTTGCTCAGGTGAGCGATGTGGCCCCTGGGCCTCTTGTTTTTTTTGCATTTAAATATGTATAGCGAAAAATAGTTCGAAATTCTCTCCGCATACCAATGATCTTTTATTGCTGATATGTAGGCATCTTCCTGTAAGAGATGTAAGTTTAACATGGGAGAACTGGAAAAAATATATTTTTTTAAAAATCTCAATATTTAGTGACATTAAGCATGCAATCAAATTTGCTACTGCTATGTTTTCCGAGACCAGAATAATTTGTCCACCAAAGGGTATTTAAGATTTACTTAAAATATACCGGTGTATAGAAATTAATAGGGAAATCTTTTCAAGATTAGAGTGGGCCTCATTAATTATACCCCCGCTCCGAAGGAGAGGGGGGTATACTGTTTTACCCTTGTGTGTCTGTCCGTCCGTGTGTCCGTGTAGCTGTGTGTCCGTCCGTAACAAATTTTCGTCGCAGTTTTCTCAGCAACTACTCACCACAGATGCTTGAAATTTTAACACAATCTTCTCTGAGGCATGCCATACGTTGGGATACATTTTAGTTAAAATCTGATGTCAACTTCCTGTTTGTCTGTGCGTCTGGCCGTTTCATCCATAACAAATTTTCGTCGCAGTTTTCTCAGCAAGTGCTCATCGCAGATGCTTGAAATTTTAACACAATCTTCTCTGAGGCATGCCATACGTTAGGATACATTTTTGTTAAAATCCGATGTCAACTTCCTCTTTGTCTGTACGTCTTTCCGTTTAATACATAATATAACAAATTTTCGTTGCAGTTTTCTCAACAACCACTCATCGCAGATGCTTGAAATTTTAACACAATCTTTTCTGAGGCATGCCATATGATGGAATTCATTTTTGTTCATATCTGATGACAACATCCTGTTTGTCTGTGTGTCTGTCTGTTTCATACATGACAAATTTTCGTTGCAGTTTTCTCAGCAACTACTTATTGTAGATGCTTGTTTTCTCACCAACTACTTATTGCAGATACTTGAAATCTTAACAAAGTCTTCTCTGAGGCATGCCATATGTTGGGAGATATTTTTCTTCAAACCCGATGTCAACTTCCTGTTTTGTCTGTGTGTCAGTCCGTTTCATACATAACAAATTTTCGTTGCAGTTTTCTCATTAACTATTCATAGCAGATGCTTAATTTTAGTATACTATTTGTTGAGGCAAGCCATATGGTGGGATTAATTTTGAAATGAATCTGATGTCAACTTCAAATTTTTCTGTGCATCTGCCTGTTATTGAACTTGTGTAAATTAACATGATAGTTGTTGATTTACATCAGAGCGGGGGTATTACTAGTGAGCATTGGCTCACAGATTTCTTGTTTATCCTGTTTGTATTACAATATTACATTTAACAGATCCCAAAGTTCTATAGCTTTTTTTTTTTTTCAAATTACAGATTCTTACATAGAGATAAAGTTAAATCAGAATTCAAAATTTACCTAGCATGTAAACAAGATATTAAACTAAGTCTTCCTTTGCAGAACAGCAAAGTAATGTTAGTCATATTGAAGCATCCATAGGATATAAGGATAGAATGATTTCGTGGGGCTATTATGGGACACAATAGGAGATACCAAATTTTCTTCCTTGAAAAAAAAACCAGCAGAGTCGAGCTGACTTGGGTTAGTGTTATTGCCCATGAGCCTTTTATTTTAATGGTTGTATCAGATTTTAAATCTTCAGTACGAACTGTGGGATTTATAGTAACTATGTTTATTCGCCTCCCCGTTGGCCTCCTTAATTGCTTTAGTAACACGATTCACGTAGAGCGTATTTAAGAGCTTTTGCAATGATGAAAATATATACGTGTCAATTTGCAAAATGCGTCAGATTGCAAATCTTGTACCATCTTGCAGGTGTTAAATTAGAGACCATCTGAACAGTGCTAATTGCATCTTTAATATGTTTAAGAAACGCCTTAATTTTGACCTTTAATATTTTTTACATACAGAAAATATTAACAAACTGTACTCCTATTCTCTCTGTCAGTACTGTAAAATCGTTTCATTTCAAACAAAAATCTTGAGTGATATATATGAAAAAAGACTCCTTTGTAAACTTAACTATAAAGAGTTAGGTGTATATAACCACAGCTAGGTTTTCAGATATACGTACACGTGTGGAGTCCTGATTGTTGGCATAATTCAAAATAAAAATAATCCTTTAAATACACAGTACGGTAAGGAATCTGTTTAAATGATGTTATCAGACCAAAATCTATTTATCATCGTCACGTAGAACTAGTTTGCAACTTACTCATTTTCGCCCCAAAGCAAAAAATATAAATACTGTAGTCCCACCAATGCTTAGATGAAATTTTTGGATAAAGAATGCTTAAATTGCATTAGATGTATTCTGACTGCGCCTTATTTTGAAATCGGTGTCACCCTAAGATATGGGCCAAAAATCCATTGTTCTCAAACGATGATTGACAGGCGGCCCCCGCATTTGATGTTATATATTTATTGACACACGAGATATTTTCAAACCCAATCTGTTTGTTTATCCGTTATATGTTCTTCACAACTGATCTGAGATATGTAAGAAATGTTCCTTATCTCAAAATGATTACATCGGCCACTTTTCAAAGGGTATAAATATATCAAATTCAGTTTTGTCCAAGAAGTTTGTAGACCAATCTTGTTTTCATTAATTGATAGGAAATTTGTCTGTAACAGATTTTACTTCAATGAATCGTGAGGTGTATCTCAAATCTTAATACCACTTGACTATCTGAAAGAAAATATTTCGACTATGTCTTAGGTTCAAATCAAAATTTGACAAATTTTAGAAGCCATGTATTTAATTCCTGTAGCTCTTTTCATAGCTCAGATAAAAAGGACTTCTTTATTTGTTAAAAAGCTTAATCAAAACGATTTACGGTTGCATTTTCTTAGTTTTTGGATTAGTATATTTTAATGACTATTTTAGCATCTGTACAATGCGAATATAACTACGTGATTTTATTTATCGTACTCTCATGTTGTATGAGTACCGGGTGGCAGTAAAAACAAAATTTATAACATAGCAGTGCTATCCGTTTCCGCCCGTTTGCGTTCGTCGTTTGACTTTTGGGGTAGAGCACCTGACTTATGATGCCAAGGTCCTGGGTTCGAAAGACATAGAAGTGAAGAATCTTAGTCCCGGGTGGTTTTGCAGGGATAGTTTAAGTTGAGAAACTGAGGATGCTTGAATAACTTTCAAAAGTCTTTGGAACTTTTTTTGCCTTGATGGAAGAAAAATATTTGCGGTCCTGTAACCCTTTTACTTTTAATTAAGTATACGTCAATGAAATTCTGAACATGTGCATGCTCATTCACAAAATGTAGGCCATTTTAAATGTGTCCAGTATATATATATAATGATCTTGCATTCAATGGGAAATAGTATTAAAATTGAATGAACATTTTCTTCTCTTTTTAGACAGGCTATAGACCAAGTGAAAAAGAACCAACAATAGATTTAAAGCGTCTACACCTGCACTTTTAAAAACATACATTTTTTTTACCGGCGACATCGTATTTATTCTCCCAATTGAAGAAAACTTTGGAGCGCATCTCGGTGATTTAATCTTTATCGATAATATGTACCTTACATATACCTGTCTATGCGATTAATTTGTGATACAAGAATTCCATATTATATCGAGGACTGCAGGTCTATACAGGTATAACATAATCAATCCGGGAGAGAAAATTTAATTACAGGTGCGGATTGGAATCACTGCAAGTCGTCAGATAGACCGAGGGACTGGGGGATTTATCTCCGAGGTCCGATTCCTGCCAGACCACTGTGTATTACAGGACCAAATATTGACAGAATTACGAAACATAAAAGGCCAAGGATTTAAAAATGAATGAAGAAAGCGACTAATATAGGGGAAAGGCAGGGACAATCGATTCACAAGACGGCATTTAGTAAGGAGAGTTGTTTTCCACACGAGAGGCGTTTCAGTAGCGGGTGTCCAAGTTAATTGATCTATCCACATTAACGATTCGTGTATGAATAGGATATACCCAATAAAAAGAGGATAATTCAGTGTGGGGTTAACGTGGTTTAACTTCTATAGTCCTTTGGAAATTCGCCAACCTATCGATCTAAAGCACATGTTATTATAAAAAGGCCACGATAACAGAAGGCTGGAATTTTTTATATATGGTGACAACGGTCGTGTGTTTGGCATCGCCTGAATACCCTGGGTCTGATACAAGGAGATATCCCGATAGCGAGGACTCTGGGGAGGGCGAACAGTTCTGACAGAAAATCTACTCTAAGCAGAAATATCTTACCTGTAAAACAACACGCATATATACAGTGAGAATGGAATTTCTATTTACATGACTGGACAAAATTTTATCGATCATGTAAAAAATTACATGGAAGAAATTGTAAATGTAAACAAAAGGATTTGAAGTGAATTCATAATGGAGGAAGCGAGGAATTTTAAATCTACACTGATATGGCAGGCAAGCTGTAATTCTGTGATGCACCCAGCGCCACTTCGTACAATTGTCACGCGAGATCCCGAATATATTCTGGAAGTACACGAAAACGTAGAAGACAAGACATTTCACGCATCTGAAACCCACCTTCCGGCGCCACGACCACTTAGTTATAACTTTGACCCAGAAGATTGTGATCACGTGACCCCTGGGCGAACGCTGAAACTCGATCACTGTGACAGTCAATTTTCTGTTGAACCTCATGTTATCCATGCACGTGAGTACAGAATCGACAGTGGGTACGATGATTCCAGTCACTCTGAACACGTCTCTTCTGATGGGAGTCAGGAACTTGTAGCTCACGATGACTGCAGACCAGAATCACCGGACGATGAGGATCGCATGATCCGAGCGGAACAAAAACTGGTCAAACGAGACAGTCGGAGAGTGGAAGCTATCCATGTTGAACACCACAAGTCGCCGCGACAGGCTTCCCTTGATGAAGCTTCCCATGATGTTCACCATGATGTACACCACGATGGTGAGCATGGGTCGAAAACAAAATACACTAATGTTCAAGCACTAACAGCAATGGCTCGGATGTTATCTCGTCCTGTCCTTCGAAAAGACGACGAACAATCCTCTTTCGATGAAGAGTCATGTGACATTTCTATGTGGACAAATGGAAGTGGGTCAACCGACTCACCGCGTAGTGATAATACTTGTGAATTTGACAAGTATTCGGATATAACTGTGGAGACCAGAAAAGCAACCAAACCTACGGTTAAAGACCTTGACCTCACACCAGAGAGAACCCGATCGAAATCGTTCAGCACAAAAAGGATTCTTTCTCCTACCGTTCCAGCTTTGTCACCTAACAAAGACAAATTCACATTTTCTAGAAGTCTAAGTACAACCTCTAGTTATTCTTCTTCCTCTGAGGCGACAACGCCGACCTCTGTCCCTGACCCCTGTTTCCGGTGTAACAAACAAGTCTACCAATTGGACAAAATTGGACCAGTTAGACGTGTTCTGTACCATAAGCAATGTTTTCGATGTGCCGAATGTAGCACTACATTGACGTTGAAAAACTTTTGTCAAAACGCAAATGATAAAAATGACAAGCAGGTGTACTGCAAGAAGCACCAACCACAGCAGGAAAAATGCCATGTGGATATCGAGGATCGGAACATCAATATCGCTCTGAACAATCCAAAGCTAAATCGAATCAATACGAACATCCGGGGCTCTGATGAAGATAAAGCCAGAGGACAGAATCAAAGGCCTATTTATGTCAGGGGAGCAAGCATACCGAAGCTGGACGTCGTCTGTGGAAATCAATACGGATTTAGTTACACTGGTGGACATCCTGTAGAACATGATGCCGGGTCGCTGAACCCGAAACCAATGAGGATAACGAGTCCGAGAGAAATGAGTCTGGAGGAAGTTGAACCAAAACGAGTCTGGACAAGGTCGGCCATTAATGCTGCCAGCCTCGATCTGAGTGCGCCAATTTCCGGTAGAAGCGCTCATCATTTCTATTCCTATGGAAGCTCAGCTTTTAACCATTTATGATATTATAAAGCTTTTGTGTTGCCACCTGTTGCTACGCTACAATAATGTGTTCCCCTATATAGCTTAATTGCGCAAATTGTACTTAATGCAAGGCCAAAGTATTTGTTATTGAGATTTTTCCTTGTTATATATTTTGATAGGATATTTTTCCCCTGTACTGTGATAATATAAATATTATATATTTTATGAAGCATTGAATAATTACATGTATACCCATTATATTTTCTAAGGAATTGTAAAATTTAATACACCAAATCATTTTTGAAGAGACTCTTTTGTATCTCCAAGTATTCCCAACCTGTGTTAATTGCTCCTAATTGCATTCAGTTTGTGATATTGATACATGTCTATTTTCCATAATGTACATTTCTTTCTAACAACCCAAAACTATATTTTATATGTATTTTGAATTAATATCGATATAACATATTGCCTCTACAGTATATATTTTTATATACAATACTTACAGTGTACATAATTAAAATGAATATTTTTTCATTGTTTATGTTTTTTCTTAATCGTTCTTCATCCTATGTGCATTGTTTATAAAACTTATATATGTTAATATCAATAGTAATTTTAATTTCACCCAATCCAAGTTAATTTTAAACAACAGTTAATACAGCTTCTCGGGATGTTGCAGTCCCCACTTGGTTGGCCACGCGACACTCAATTCTACCAGCATCAGACACCCTTATGTTCTGAATCGTTAAAACCTCGCCATTACTCGAGATCTGATGACGAGAGTCGGGAACCAATAGTTTGCCATCTTTGTACCACGTGACTGTTGGCGTTGGAATACCAGAGTTCACACATCTGAACTCAGCGGATGTGCCTGCGTTGTTCGTTGAACTCCTAGGTTGTTTTGCTATGTTTGGCAAAACTGAAATAGTGAATAATATGTTGGACTGTGCGCATACATGTAATTTTGAGTACCATCAAAAACTTTTACACAGCTTTTACTTGACTGATAAGCCTCTTCAAACTTCAAGCCACAACAGGCCCAATCTGGGCTGTAAAGTTACATGACGTCATATGTAAGATTCACTTCCATTATTTTATCAATTTATCATTTCTTAAACAACTACCAGGTTATAGAATTTTGGATGATATTGAATTAAACTGCTCAAGGCCAATATATACCTCCTCTTACGACATCAATCACTTTCGTTATAGTCCCAAGTGCGTTTTTGGCAGTACAGACGTAAGTTCCAAAGTCTGACGTCGCTGCATTCATGATGGTATACTTTCCATTCAGCTTCAAAAGGTTGCGTTTGTCACGTGATCTGACGCCTCGGCGCGTTATTATCTGTTTTTCGAGTGTTACAGTTGGAGCAGGACTCCCTGTTGCATTACAAGGCAGGCTTATAGACTCCCCCACACTCAGGTAAAGCGTGCTGGACGGAGTAGGGTCTTCAAACTTGGGATATTCTGTAAAAATCACATCTTGTGCATTAATTTCTGACGCCATCAAAGATAAAAAAGACTATTTTTAAACCTATTTATATACTGAATATTTAAAAGCAAGACTTTCAAAATACTTGATGCATTTGAAGTAGGGATGTCAATTGTACTCAGACAGCTTAGTCGAATAGGTGGGGGCTTTAGTAGAAAGATAGTCGAACATTCGTTAAAATTCTTGCAGATGCCAATTGTGCTTGGACAGCTTAGTCGAATACTCGGGGGCTTTAGTCGAAAGGTAGTCAAGTATTTGTTAAAATTTGATTTTCCCTAGTTATTTTCACTCTTTGTCTTTCACAGACTGCCTGACGTGTACAATTTTCTTTTCAATAAAATAAGTTGATAGTCGGTATTATCGAACTCAGCCGAGTATTCGAATATTCGTTGACATGTCTATATTGAAGACTAATTATTTATTCATTATCCTTTATAATATAGACCTCTGCAAATGAACCCCTAAAGAAATCTTCAGAATTTAATTTTACTGATGAAATGTATATTTAAACATCTTGCACATACGAGGGTTGTCCCAAAAAGTCGTAGACAATGGTAATAACTTTTTTAACATGCAACCAATACTAACCAAATTTTGCATAGACATAATACATTCAATGTTCTTTAAAATTGTGAATTCTTGAATATATATCTTTCATATTAATTATATTGGGACGATTTATATGAAGGCCGATGTGGTCTGTCGGCGCACGACCAAAATTCGGAATAATTTACGCATATAACTTTTACATTTGTTTTTATTTCTTTGGTACTATGTAAAAGATTGAACTAAAATTTAAATCACTGAAACCAGAATCAATATCTTAATAATATGTCAAAATTTCATATAAATAGCATAAGAAACAGACGACTGGTGGCATGATTTTCAAAGTGTTCTTCGAATTGAGATTGATGAAAATGACGTCGTCGCACGCGTACCCGGCGCACGGAAATGTAATAAATTGTGTTTGGTATATTTTATATTCATTAGAGACGGGGGAAAGAGTACAGAAAGGACATTACACACTAGATTTTAATAGAAAAGTTGTTTTTCAATAGTATGAGATTCAAAGATAGTTTTTCCTCTATATCGAAAAAAGGTAGTTATTGCATGTAAAGTAGAGTACTGATTGTTTAACGCAGACATTTGCGTGAACGTTCTGGGCCATGAACGTCGTCAAACAAGGTGTATTCTCTGCTGCTTAAAATGTAAGGTGATCTTTCAACTAATTTAATTTTGACTAAAATTTGAATCTACTTAAGAAAACGGACAGTAGTAAATTTAAATTATTCCCTTAGTCAAGAGTGGTTTTTCACTATTAAAATATTCATTTGGATGTTAATAGCCTCATGTAAAGCAGAAAAAGGGCCCATGACGTTATCAGAGACGTAAATTACGCTTGCTTTCGTGCGCCGATGTACACTCACATGGTTTCTTTATTTTTTCATAATTTTCTTATTAATCGTGGTATCGTCATGAAACTTAAAATACATAATCATAGGATGTTACTCTTTGCTATGAAAAGAAAAGAAATTTGATTCAGCAAAGAGAAAATAAACTATATTCCCTGTCTACGACTTTTTGGGACAACCCTCGTATTTTACGACACACACAGTCCTATACATACCGAGACAGACACAGCCATCTTTAACATTATCAGGTCCTGCCGGTCCCTGGGGCCCAGGCTCTCCTTTACTTCCTTTCAGACCTTGCCCACCTGTCTCTCCAGGTGCCCCCTTCTCTCCTGGCGATCCTTTGGTTCCTTTCGGACCACGATTCCCTTGTTCTCCGGTTTCGCCCTTTTCCCCCTGTTTGGTTAGCATTGAAATATTCTACATTTAACACGTCAAATTAAAAAGTCATAAATACATAAAATAAAAAAAACTAAATCTTCCATAATCATGATGAATTAATACATGTAAACATGGTTATTGTAAATAACTTACTTTTACTCCAGATTCCCCTTTAGAACCTCTAAGCCCTTGATCTCCTTTGGCGCCCCGTGGACCAATGTCACCTTGAGTTCCTTTGAATCCTTTCGGACCAATATCTCCCTTCATTCCTTGTTCGCCCTTACCCCCTTGGAGCCCCGGGTCGCCTTTATCGCCAGTTTTTCCCGGAAGTCCTGGATCACCAAGGATCCCCCTCTCCCCTTTGTCTCCTGACAATGAATTCAAAAAGTTAATGTCCTTTTTCTCACCGTGTTTGCTGATATTTACTCAGATTTGTCAGTATTAAACCTAAAAGAGGGTGTTGCAGAAACTCGCGATTATTCCCTATATATCGAGAAGGACATTAAAATACCCTCATTATGTCTAAATATAGATACAACTACGTAGAAGACTATGTTTACGGCGGGTATTTCCTGCTTGATACATCAAAACACTTTCGTCATTTTGCACAAAAGAGGTTGGAACAACAAAGAGCACAATGGCTAAAGCAGCATTTTGAAAGATATAATGTAGACATCGTGCGAAAATAATTTTCATGAAATAAAACTGCGTCCCAAAATCACACTGTTGGTGCTACATCCAAGACATTTTATTTGTTTCAAATCAAATCTTGGCTACTAACTAAGAGACCAAAATTGCAATAACTACAGCATGTAAAAAAATAAATTATTTAAACAATACAGTAACTTTATTTTCCAACACAAAACTTAATAAAGCATTAGTTTTAAGTCACAGCATATCAAGGAAAACAATTTAATCCTGCATTTCTAATACATGTATATAGATTAGTTATTACTCAATTAACTTCTTGACATTCTCTCCCCCTCCTCCCCCCCCCTTTCAAAAAATATAGAAGTTCATTGCACTACCATTACATATGGAGAAAAAAATATGCAAAAATGATCCATACCATGATTCGAACCCATTCTCCGGTAAAAGTACTAGTTGGAAGCCCACCAGCATATCCACTAGACTATTTCAGACACGATGATTTTGCAGTGTTATTTAAAGTACACATCTTGCATTTCGTTTGGAGACAAATTTTTATTCAATTTTTGCGTTTTTCAAAAATGTGCCTCTTTGAAACAAAAATCGGAAATGGCAGTTTTGAAGAAAATTCCTGCCTCTTTGTGTATATATCAAAATTATTTTGTTTCAAGGAGGCACTTTTTTAGAACAATGGGGATTCCCTACTTAAAAAACGGAAAATCTGATATATTTTGCCGTAAGACTAATTTTCACATCATTTAGTGGCAAACTGGAAGTCAATACACACCTTCCAAATATTGTTTTTCGTTGTGCTTTATATATTGTTACATTTGAAAAAAATTAATATGAGTTTCTGCAACATAAAAATTCTTCTTTAAATCTGCTACACATGTAGGGAAAATAACAAAGGAACTGCAACACCCTCTTTTCAGACTTTACAAGTCTCCTGAGGCTAATTTTGAAATTTGACTGGATAAACTCTTAACATTTAATGTAACAGTTATACCATCTGTCGATGGTGTGTTACAAATTATATTTTCTTGTTCTTGAAACAAATATGATAGTAAAATCAAATTTTAGGGGCTTTTGTATATTTCACTTTTCCGTAGGTGTCATAGGTGGTGAGGTATCACCTGTGATTCGAACCAAGGGCCTCTGCCGTAGCGTGCCAGCGCTCTAACTACGATCTACTACGACGCGATATATTGACTAACTCTCACACACCTGTCTACTCGGTGACATATTAATTAATCGTGTTTATTAATACAGTGTGGTTGTGATATCTGTGGTATAAATTGAGTGACAGACTCACCTGTGTTACCCGATAATCCGGAATCGCCTTGGTCCCCTAAAGATACAGATAGTAAACCTTCACTAACTCTTGTAATGCCTTTCACTCTGAAGGATATTATACGAAGTAAATGTAACAGACAATATTTCTTCAATGTTTTCTAGAATAAAACATCCCGTTAATTGAAGATGACCATTAATTAAATGAATAAATTGACTGCTTACCTTTGATGCAGGTTTTATTTTTCTCGATGCAATGTTGGGCTATAACAGCCTCCTGCAAAGTTGAGCAAACTCTTGAGGAGAAATGTTCAAAGGACACGGCATTAAAGCCATGGTAATGTTGTTTTAATACATATATTTCTACTATCAGTAAAGGATTTCAGTGATGTCGTACCTGGGCAGTGAGAATGTCCGCTATGAAGTTTCCCGCCCTTTTCTGTTTATGGAGTTTCTTGTTGTCATAATCCAGTAGGGCCTGTAATCAGTAACTAGTTCTGTAATGTCTTCTCATAAGCAACTGCAGCAAGAGACATTTTAAACTATAAGCAATTTACATGTATACAAAATGTTAAATGAAATTTTTAAAAATACAAAAAATAAACATATATTAAAACACACTTAATTCTTTCATACATATATAGGTTGTATCCCGTTTAAATCAATTATCAACTATGCACATCACCATGTATGGTAACAGAAAAATCATTACATGACAAAAGAAAACCAAGTAATTATTATTATAGTAAGAGTATATGAACGAAAATAGTTTTTGAAAATTATGCTGATCAATTTGATGGATTGGATTCAAACCATGTAGGTTTGTACCTGTAGGTGCTTGATTTTGCTGTCCAAGTCTTGGTCCTTTTCCTGGAGGATCTCTGTGTTGTCATACTGGTACAGAGTGACCACGGTAAACAGGGAGGTCTGGACCACAGTGATCAGTAACAGGACCCACAGCCAGGGAGAGGAATCGACTTTGTTCTCCATATCTTCTGTTGTCTTAGAACCTGTAGACTTTATCTGTAGAATTCTGACCTTAAGAACAAAGGCGCAAATGTGGAATAAGATAAGGATGTGAACAGTCTGTTGTGCTGTTCAGGATTTTTGTGCCAATTTCAAGTAAAATGAATTTATGTCAGAATTTCTGTTATCCCACATGTATGTCCAGTTTCAACAGGATAATATTTTTGAAAGGAAAATTCTTAAAGTTGAAGACATTTTGCTTTCATTTTCAAGACAAAATATTGCTATGATATTATGTCTTTCAGTAGAATTGTAAAAGTTGTACAATACATTAATTATTTTATAATATGAATCAGTCCAAAACGTTCAATCCATTGAATTTCCGTTATATGTATATAATAAATATTGACCAGACCAATTGTAAAATTGTATAGGCATATCCTGATGTCCACTAGCCAATGGGATCACATTGAATTTAATGAAAGTCTGAAATTGAAAAAATTACATTCCTATCACACGCGTTTAAAATCATTTTTTAATTTCCTTATTACTTCTGATATATCACAGTATATTGTTGCCTTCTATCATCAATTAAAATGGGTGGTATATTGACCTTTTAATTACTTTAACAAATTATTATTCAACAACTGCCTTCTCCCCTCAGTTTATTGTTGACCTTGTAGCTCCAGAACTTCTTAAAGCTATAGCCTGACATGTTTGGTTTTCCTAAACAGCGAACTGACTTAAATGTTTCAGGAAATGTTCTATTAAAAGGACGTTATGTCAATCTAGTATACACATTCAAATGTGTGATCTGGATATATTTGCATGATGAAAATCTATCTTTACACTAATTATAAGCCATGATAGATAGAAATAGAAACAAATCATGGTATCTATCATTCAAAATAGGAATAAATTTGTGGTTTTATTCGAGGTTACATTTTTGAAATCAATTTTTGTTACCTGAATTTGATTTTTTTTTCATTATAACCAATGGCTTTTGTTAATTTCTGTTTAGTTCCTTTCTTAATGATAATATATGGACATTAAGTGTTTATCATTTAACAAGAAGTACAATGTTTTGATTCAATCCATCATAAATAAAATATGTTGAAGATGCCGCATGTGTATTTTATATTCCTTTTATATACAAACACAAAATTGTTAGTGCGACGAATATACTAATTAAATACTAGCAATCACAGGATGAATTTAAGACAAATTAATATCAAAACAATAGTTTGAAAATGTTGTTTATTTATTTCACAAAAATATACATCTGTCAACAGTATCTAAGCTTGTGCAAACAACAACAAAAACATCACATAATTTAATCGAAATTTTAATAATGAAATGAAATTTTGAAAATTGGACTTGTTTTTTTTTTTCATTTAATAATATTTTTTTAGCTGTGTGACATCGACTTTTAATTGATATGCATTTGAAAATAGTGAAGATTAGAAACGGTGGTCGGTCTCAAACAAAAACTACAAACAAAACAAAAGTGTCAAAACTCAACTTCAAAACATATACAAGAACACTATACATATTTAGAGTAATTAAAAACAGTACATCATATTGAGGTAGGACTATATCACAGATCTGCTTCGTCGTTCAGGGTATAGAACGTTCAGTTTTTAGATGCCAGGGATAGGGTCCTCAGAGCGCTCTCGATCAGTTTTAGATGTTTCCCATTGTCGGAGTTCTTCAGCTTTAGGAACATGTCCCTTAACTTTTGCAGACCTTTCTCGTGTACCCTGCTTTCCAGAACTTCCCATTGGTTTTCTTCTTTCATGTCTTCTTTTGTAGATTGGACGATTTCATGTCCTGCAATATTAATTGATTGAAGAATAATGTGCAGACAAAACTATTGCTATAACACTTATTTATTACAATTATCTATACCAAACCAGTTTTCCCTCAAATCTAATCGTTATAATTGTTTTTATGTTTAAAATTAATTCAAAAACATGAAATATCCTAAGATTCCAAGTTATACTTCATCCACTAGGCTTAATAAATATTTTAAAATTAATTAAATAATGAATAAACAATATTTTAACAAAGAGTTTTAAATTTTGCTTTTGGATAACTTTTTGGGTAAAGAGAGTTTTTAATGTTATTGATCTTTTCGTTGCTTACCATTACGTTTAAATCTTCTTCCTAACGAAAAATCCAACACGGACAGCAAAACAAAGAAAGCGAGAAAACTTGCCGGAGATCTGATGGCCATATCTTTAATTCCCAAAGAATCTTAGAAAGTGTTCATAGATTGACGTGTATGACTTAATATAAACATTTACCTTCTAATTCAGAGTTAATTAATTCAACAAACACGACCGCGAGAAGCATGAAGAAAAATTTTTATGCATAAATTATTTTTATGTCTTTTTATAGAAACAAAAAGTTATTTAATTAAAGGCATGTTATACAAAGTTTTATTATTTCCTTTAACTTTTAAAGGCAAATGTTTTTTTTGTCTTTAAAATTTGTTAAATTTCTATAGGCCTGTATTACTTTTATCTCTCTCTCTCTCTCTCTCCCTCTCTCTCTCTCTCTCTCTCTCTCTCTCTCTCTATATATATATATATATATACGTTGATAAGTTAAATCCTTGGTACAGTAAAAAATACTTAAATAAATAAAAACAGAATGCTGCAGTCCAAATTAAATAAAATCTTTACTGTTAGCGCTTTCAGCCATGTTGGCTCTTCAGACAGTTATAAAAAAAATCATCAAAACGTTGTCAAGAACGTTCTTGACAACGTTTTGATGATTTTTTTTATAACTGTCTGAAGAGCCAACATGGCTGAAAGCGCTAACAGTAAAGATTTTATTTAATTTTGACTGCAGCATTCTGTTTTTATTTATTTAAGTATATATATATATATATATATATATATATATATATATATATATATATATATATATATATATATATATATATATATATATATATATATATATATATATATATTTAAGAAGAATTTTTGTCGATAAATATTTTTATTAAGTATTTGTTATCAAGTGATACTTTTTATCTGCTAATCAATGATAATTTTAAATTAAATCTGCAAAAAGTTTGATTTTACAAACCATATAGCTTTGGAGCTATTGTAAAAATAAAATTTCTTTTCTCTTAAACTAATGTGGAAGAATCTTCAGTTATGTAGATTCAAGTTTGCTGAAACCATGACTCCTGGAGGTAGGCTGGGGCAACAATTGACAATCAAAATTTTTCATAGAAGTATATAGGAAAAAATCTTCTGCAGAATAACAAGGCCATGATAAGTTATATTGAAAGTTCAAACGTGTAGAGAGAAAAAAGTCACAATATGTCAAAGAAATATGTAAGCATTCTTAGTGCAGATTCACGATATTAATTCAAATCATACACACTCTTTTTGAGGGTTAGGTCGGGACCACTTTTGCATTTAAGTTTTTCATTGCTGTATTAATTTCTGCTTTTTTCGTACCCACAGTACTCAGCTAAGCGATGTGGCCCTCTCTTATTTCTGGTGTTATGACTAGAAATTAATTTTAAAAATATAAGTAAAGTAGAAACATAATCAAATATCATATAAATAAAACAGAGAATTGCACTGTGCAGGTGAGACCTCCAAATATAATGATTCATTAATTGTATCCCATATTAAAACTGAGGTATTTTTTAAAATGATGACTTTAGGACCTGATACAGTAGTTCGAAATATCTGACGTTTTCAGGCCTTAACTTTTTTTCAGACTTAAAAAAGAAGGCCATCCAGAATTAAGCTTAATTTTTCAGATACTTAACCGAAATTTACCTATCCTCGTTGCTCAATCCATCTAATTAATAGATGCAAACTTTATAACAGGAAGAGTAAATTTTGTACTGTGTATCTCAGAATTCGTAATTGACCTTTTTGGACTTGTACACCTGCAATATTTGTTCCAGCGAAAAAATAGATTTTAGCACATATTGAATTAGAAAACCTGACTAATTAAGGCGCATTCTAGATCGGGAATAATCATCCTTTTAATTTAGCACATCTAGTATGATTAATAAGAGTGATCAAACCATAAGAAAGCAAGTATTAGCATTGTATGTCTATATATGACCAGTTATTTTTAATGTCATATTATATTAATATTTCAACAAGGTGTAAATATCAATTTATCTCGACAAGCAAGAACTATGAAGAAACGCTACCTCAACACTACAATTTGGCAAAAACTAATCGTATGAACGTTGAAACGAGTAGCAATTATTAATTCTCATTTTACAATGGTGAATTAGGTCTAGCTGTTATTCACCGGAAAAATATTAATATTGACCGAGGCGAAGCCTAGGTCAGTATTGACACATGTATTTTTCTGGTAATTTCATTTTTTTTATCTCTTTGCATTCAAAATATTTACCAATTAAGAAAATGTGTTTGTGAAATACTGATGCCCCCATATGGCAGCTTATGTCGAGGGATGAATTTGAAAGAATTTCACAGAAATTTCTATTTTTCATCGAAATCAAAATCCGATAACCAGAATTATGTACCTTAGTGTAGTCTACTTGTGTGCCAAGTTATATTGAAATCAGACCAAAACTGTAGGAGGAGTAGCATTTTGAAAGAATTTCACAGAAATTTCTATTTTTAGTAACCACGGCAACATCGTTCATCGAAATTAAATTAAAAACCGATATACAGAATTACGGACCTTAGTGTAGTCTAATTATGTGCCAAGTTATATTGAAATCAGACCAAAACTGTAGGTCTGACGCCGGACGCATTATTATCGCATAAGCTCTTCTGGTCTCTGACCAGTAGATCTAACCAGCTACAGTTTTAAATCATAAAGAACAGCTTATAGTTTTGGTCTTTTTTCTACCTGCATTCCTTCATTTCTCAAAATGCATTCAATATCCAAGTCCTATCAGTTTAAATACTCTCTATATGTTTTACTTAGCATTTGAGATTCAATTTGATGCTCGTAGCGAGTGTAAAACTGTCAAACATAACAAACTACTGAAGTGGGCAATGAAGTTGTCAGAGGAATTTCAAAACTA